AGTGCCCTAAATTTGCACCCTTTTTGGTGGGGAATTGAATCTGGGAATCTCTCCTAACCAAAAAGTTTGAAACCTATGGCTGTTCTGCTTCCTATGGGTTAATATTCTAGATCCTCACATTACTCTGCTTTGCCAGACTGTGGTGTGCCAGTGGTTACTGTCCACTTACCTACCCAAAGCTCAACCTTTCAGGCAGGCAGAATATGCCTATTGCACTGCAGAGGAAATAAAGACAAACTTTATTCCTCCTAAGTGATTTCAAGTGTTATTAGCTCCTGGTGAGTTTATTCTTGATGGTCCTGATTTCTATGGTGTACAGACGTTACAGCTGTTGTATGTCCATAGCCATTATGTACAATCGGTTCAGCCCCCCTTCTTTCATTTCACTCTTTACAATGATCAGTTGCTGAACCTCCTCAAAACATGTCATTCCTAGTCAGAGACTGGAACAGAGATCTCACAGGCTTTGTTTCGCTCTGTAAGGAGGGAGCGACAAGTAAGGTGATCAGTGAATCTGTATTTCTCTGCTCTGTCATCTTTTCTAGGTGGGTCCAATCCCACTTCTAGTATGAAAGGTTTGCTATTTTAAGCCACTCCTCTGTGGCATAACTAAGCCATAGGGCTGTACTGCCCACTATTTTCTGGCTCTTGTTCTCTCCCTACACTAGAATATCCGTGTAAAGAAGTCCCTTGTTTCGTTTCATTATCTAACTGTACAGGCCCAGTCTTTGCTCTAGCAATCGTACAACATTCTCCCTGTGCTTGAGGTAATCGCTTCTCTAAACTTCTTTCATCTTCCCATTGCAATTTGCAGTCCTAGCTCAGGCAGGTTACCTGCTATACTATGGAAGCTGTTTCATCTAAGGTAAGTCAGGACAGGTTAATGAGTTTCTGCAAGCTGGGTCAGAGATCAGCAAACTCTTTTTTTTTTTTTAATTCCCAGACCTGATCCCAGATGAAGGCATCTGTCACAAGGATAAAGTTATTTCCCTTAACTACTTGCTGATGTATGCTTTGTAAAGGAAGGTGTTTGAAATGATTTCTCAGCAACAACTTCAGCTCACATGGAAATATTTTCTTAAATGATGCTACATCTGGATTTTTTTTCCTAATTACTGTAAGCTGTCTCAGAATTTTGTAGATATATTCACAGTGTAAGTGTCTTTAAAAATAGCTTTTGCAGTATTGCATGGGCACAGATTTTTTTAAGCATATAAGTAATCAGAACGATTAAACTATTCTTTTGTCTAAGGCTGTTGGGGTTCACCCATCCAGTCTGAGTCATTTGGTGTAATTAGTGACTGAAGGTCAGAATCTTGGGGAACTTGGTTTAAAACATGCTGGTTAGAGCTAATTAAAATTGTATGTCCATCTTTTACTTTTAATGATTCAGCACCAAATTAGGTTTTGAAATCGTCAACTTTAGCTTACCCTTTACTTGATTTCCTTTGTCTTGTAAGCTTATTCCTTTTCCTAAGGCATCTGAATGCCTGGGCAGACAACTGTGACCTTTAAAGTGAGGAAAGGGGGGTTACTGTGCTTAGCATGTTGTTGTTTTTTTTTTTTTAAAGGACATTCTGACATCGGTGTAGGTGTCTTTTTATCTAAATACATGTGCACTTAAAACACTTTAGTAAATGCTGAAATGTAGTAAAAGGAAAATCAGCTTCTGATCTATGTCCTTAGATATTAGATTGCTCCCCTGGAACAAATTATATGGTTGACTTCCCTGAAAATTTGTTTTTCATTTTTGAATATGTTCCTCTTTTATATAAACAAGAGAAGGTGGCCATTTTAGCAATATGTTTTTCTTTTGATTTGTTTCTTTTCTTGCACCCACTTACTCCATGTGCTCTTCTAACCCACATTTTGTTTCTCTTTGGCACTGAGACGGTCTTAAATAATTTTTAAAAAATACAAGTGTTCTGCAGTAATAGTCCAAAAGGCTGTAGCCTGCAGTAGCGTTTTTGCAGAGGTTTGAGATGATTGCAGTAGAATGGTGTATTGTTTTTGATAAGGCTTGTTCTCAGAGAACTCTTAAATGCCTGTTTCTCTGTTCTTGGCCTCTTCTCAAGTTTCTAATAAACATGACCATAATGGAGCGGCTGACACAACTTTGGCTTGTGTCACTTCTCAAATACAGCTTGTTTCAGGAGAACAACTCAAAAGAACTGCTGTGTAGATATCGTGGCTGCCATCCTTTATTAATTCCTGTTTGCGCGCTTGGTAACGGATACGTTTTTACACACTAAACTAGCATTAGCCTAACGTAAGCTCAGTACAATTAACGCTACAATCATTCGCACTGATGGAAATGAGAAATAGTTCTGTGTAGGTTAGTGTAGTTCCTGCAAGGTATGTAAGGGGAAGATCTAGTCTAATCTAATCACAGAATGGTTGAGGTTGGAAGGGACCCCTGGAGATCATCTAGTCCCACGCCCCCTGCTCAAGCAGGGTCCTCTAGAGCGCATTGCCCAGCATCGCATCCAGGTGGGTTTTGAATATCTCCAGCGAAGGAGACTCCACTACCTCTCTGGGCAACCTGTGCCAGTGCTCAGTCACCCGCACAGGAAAGAAGTTTTTCCTCATGTTCAGAGGGAACTTCCTGTGGTTCAGTTTCTGCCTGTTGCCTCTTGTCCTGTCGCTGGGCACCACGGAGAAGAGTCTGGCCCCATCCTCTCGACACTCCCCCTTCAGATACTTGTAGACGTTGATGAGATCGCCTCTCAGTCTTCTCTCTCCAGGCTGAACAGGCCCAGCTGTCTCCTCCTTTCTTCATAGGAGAGATGCTCCAGTCCCTTCATCATCTTGGTAGCCCTCCGCTGGACTCTCTCCAGGAGTGCCTTGTCTCTCTTGTACTCCGCCCTCAATGCAGGCAGTTGCAATATCATCTTCTGGAGTTCTGAAGAATAACTCTCAGTTGGTGACTTGTCTTTCTCCTCTATCAGTCTCTCTTGAGTGCATCTTTTTATTTGAAGGTTTGCCTGTATGCATGTTTTACTGGCATACAGCTGAGGATGGAGGAATAGTACTGATACATATCTCTGACTTTCTGCTGGAGTGGAAACTTATATTTTCTGTTATTTTCTTGTTTTCTTCAAGCTTTTCAGCGTTGCTCATGTTGTATGATAAGCACTGCAGAAATATTTAAGTCAGATGGATGGACAGTCTGTGACTGTTGTGATACCAGCAGTTTGATTCCTGTGCAGGAATGGAGTAGATCTGCAGTGTCTTTCCTGGACCAAATCCAACTCCTGCCTCATTCCCTGTGCGAAGCACCTGTGCTGTAGGCAAATGAAGAACAGTCAGGGCATGATGTGTGGTAATCTCTAGGAAGAAAAAAAGCCATCTGTGCATATCTGATTCTCCCTGAACTAGAGAGCATCCCCAAAGAGGGCAGAAGAGGCTCTAACTCTGCAGTGCCCATGGAGCACCATAGCTTGTGTGTAGTGCTTGCAGCCATTGTGTGATCTCACTGCCAGCTTTAGATTATTGCAAGCTACTCCCCTCTCCAGCCAAGTGTTAGCCTGAGGCTGAATGAATGAGGAACAGCCATCTTTTCCTCATCGGCTGCTGCTCTTGATCCTGTGATGATTACACTCAAGACAGCTTCAGAACCCTATCTTTTAAAATGTAACCATAATAGATGTAATGGATATTGACCAACAAACTGTTATTCCAAGTTCTGGTGTGCAGAGTTTAGTCTGAAGTGGCGTTGGCTTCCCTGTTGCACATGCATTAGTGTTTTTTAACAAGTCTTTAATGGATTAAGTAATGAAATTTCTGCTGTCTCCCCTGGGAGACAACTAGACAAACAACTATTAGGAAATCCTTCCTGATAATTATTTAGATGTTTTGTTTCTTAATTTCATCTTTTTTTCTTAGGCAGTTTTGTGTTATCCTAAACAGTTTGTTTCATTCCTCAAAGCATGTATTTCCCAAGCATTTGTAAGTCACTGCCATGTCTTCCTTTCCCACAGGCATTGCTTATCCTAGCTGTTGACTGAAAATGAATCCCTCCATCTAATGACTCTGTCACTGTTCTCAGAACTCCTTCCATTTTACATTATCCATCTGGCAACAAAAATGTTCAAAACTGAGTGCAGAGTGCAGATGTGGTAGCTCCATAGCTGTTGAAGCAGGGATGTATTACAAAACATTGTATGTCAGGAACTAGCTGTTTTCAGCTATTTCTTGGGTCAGTGCTATGAAGATATGAAGTTATTCACCACCGTCTTCTCTGAGCCATTCTGAGGACACCTTGGTGTAATGACAGATTTGAAATATAAACATATCAAAATTGCATTATTTTTATTTACCCCATACAGTTTTCCTTTTTTTTTTTTTTTTTAATCTTCTCTACATCCACCAACACACACCAAGCTGTCATTCTCCTTTGAAATACAAGTTTTTCAAGGCCAAGGCCTGACTGGTCTCACCAGTCCAGTTTGCTATCAGCAAAGAAAAGCAAGTAGATTTCTTGGCTAAACTATCTGGGTTGGCTAATAAGGGACTTTCTGCTCGGGTTCCCCGCCCTGCCCCTGCCATATCCCAGGGCAGTAAAAATATAATTGCAACGTGTGACAGGCATACGGTTGTCTTTACTGAAGAAGCCTAAGGAGCAGCCTACATGCTTTTGTAGTGGTTCCTACATTGCAAGTCCCTGCTGCTGACTGTACAACTATTGCTTCCCTGTGTGTTGGGTCTTTTTCTACAGTTCCTGGCCTGCCTCCTACTGACCAGAGGAAAATGGAAGTGCTTGTATTTCTCTATACTTATGTAGGGCAAGGAAGTTGGGCAGGAGCGGTACTTTCATGTTCAGCATTATGTTTGTCTCACTGGGTTTCTCCAGTCCATTGACCATTTTAGGTACTGAATCTAAGGGTTAAAAATAAAAAAAAGACAAAATGTGACTGCAATGTGTGGAAGTGTAATTTCAACAAAAATATTTCCGTTTTCTCTTGTGATATCACAAGGTTTTTTCCTTTTCAATTGTATAGGTTATCACTGCAAGTTTATCGCCATTCTTCTTTGTCATGACTGCCAATGTACTAACAATTTCTTGGTAAGTGCCTACGTGAGCTTTTTCCTTAATGGTAAACATGAATTTCCATGCAGTGCTTTATGTGAAATACTTTTTAAATGACAATTGCTCTTAGTGTGAGTAACATTTTACCTGCAAGGAGGACCAGGCGTGCAATGATGGATGCAGTATAATAGTACAAACGGAACAGAGTTTCTTCCACCTTTGTGGGAGAACATGGAGGGACACGTGGGAGGACATTTTTGGACGTTAAGCCTCACCACAATTCGCTCAGCAGATTTTACAGCTAGATAAATGCATGCAATAAGCAAACCTATGACCCATTCAAAATCAGACTATAAATTAGTGGTGGAGCTGGAAGTAAAACATTGGAGTCATGGTTTTGCAACAGCATTGTTCTAACCGGTAGAGTACTTTCAAGTTTCTGAATAGTCCCTAACAGAGTGTATACTATGAATACATTAATACAAGTAGGAAAATGAAATAATATTTAACTCTTTCCAAAGCTCTGTTTGGCTTTTGTAACATGTGCCCTAACATATTATGAGTCACTTAACTTGAAATTTTTAGGAAGTGATATACATGTTTAGGTTGCAAACTCCTTTGGTCAAAGATAATGGTTTTGGTCTGTGCTTGTACAGCACCCAGCAAAAGGGAATTCCAGTGCATGGCTGATGCTCCCAGATGTTTGTCATGCAAATAACTAAAAAAGGATGAAGTGTGTTATTTCTCAGGCTAGATTTGTTATTGGAATTAAAAATCTGTTTGCTTTTGGAAAGCTTTAGGCTTCCTTTTTTCTTCCCAGTCTGATTGCCACTCTGAAGATTCAGCTCTGAACTAAGTGGATTTAGCATATTCTTCTTCCAGGTGTGATATTTAGAATGGTATCAGGACCCTAAGTTACTGTGCCTCTAGCTCCAGTTTTGTTTCTGATCATCTCCTAGAGATGTTTCTACATCTCTGGTCTGATAGCACGTATGCTAGTTTTCAGTCATTTGAAACATGCTTTTCTCTGTGTTACTAATGCTAAAAAGACTGTATTGCTAAAGCTAACATTGATAAAAGCATACAGGCACCTGACTCCTTCCCTTAAATCAGTGAGAGCGGTGAGAAAAAAAACATGGAAGACTACACATCCCAATAGAGTCGTTGTCTTTAAATGATTCATTTACAGATTGGTAGATGGTATGATTTACAGACCTAGTCTGTAAAAGCTGCTTCTGACACTTAATTCCAGCCTATAATCTGTAAATGTATATTCTCAGTTTACTTTGACAGTCCTGGAAATGTTCTCCAAAACTCATTCTGCTTATCAGGAAAATTTTGGTTTCAGTGCACCATTTGCATTTTGTATGGTAAATGACTGCACGTGTATGTCCTCTGTACCATCTTTCCACACATAATCCAGTTTGTATTGAATTTGACTTTTCTTCATTGTCTCAAGGAATTTCAGAGGTGAAAAGCACACATTTCCTTCCTGTATTTGATATTTTCATGGTTATCTTAAGGTATTTGTGCCTTAATCACCCAGAAGCAGAGAATCGCTGTGAAATGTGACCTTGGGAATGGAAAGGCAAAGATATATTATATTACCTCTGCCACCATGCAACCATTACAGTTGAAACTATGTATTTTGGATGTACCAGGAGTGTTTGGAAGCATAATGAAATGGGTTTAAAATTCTGCCATTTATATTCTGCTCTGTTTTCCCAAGTGACTTCTGCTCTTACCTTTTCTTCAGCTGCTGCTTGGAAGTTAAAGAAGTTACAGAAAGCAGAGTCTCAATTTAAACTAGCCCCATGTATATATGTGTGTGTGTGCGCATCCATATATATATGTTATGCATATGTAGTCTCAAATGCTCAAATAAACCATGTGTTTTCCTTTAGCTCTAGGAATACATTTCTGTGGCCTGTATGTATAGGAGGCCAAACCAATATCGATACACCTACAACACTCCCAGTCCAGGCCCTTAACTTGCTGTGCCTCACCATATTTTACATGTGTTTGTGCAGGTCTGTTGTATGCATCCTAGAGTAGAATTTTATAATATATACACATTTACTGACATGTATACTAAGAAAAATCATGTGTACCACTGTGAATGTGAATACATGGAGCCATACAGTTACACACGTACTACATATCCTATGTGAACTGACAGTGATATAAATAATGAACGTATGCACACCGTTACAAGAAACTTTACTTTGGCCCTTAGGCTGCCTTTATGTTTTTGATTGTTACAATCAAAAAGATAACCATTTCTTGTATTTATTTCCTGAGTTACATGTATCAGCAGTGTCTGAGCTATCAGCAAAGCTCTGGAAATAGTTTGTTAGATGATAGCAGCTGCAAAGTACTCATAACATTGTAAACCAGTGAGTTTTTTGGTGTTGCTCCAGCGTTAGTGTAGAACGTTATATCATATGTTAATTTCTGTGTGATGGGCAAGTGCAGTTAGCTGTCACCCCATAATAAACAGAAACCAGAGGATTTGTATATGGTAAATTGAATGTAAGCAAGGGCTTGCGTTTCTGCTCCATCTTCAAGCTACAGTGATTGCTTCTGTTGGCCCAGTAATCTGGTGAACACGGATTGCATTGGGCATGTGGACACCTGAGACTTCAGATCTTTCAAAAGGGGATTCTTATTTTGCCTAAAGTAGAACATAAGATATTAAAGAATAATTTAGATGCCAATGCCCTTTTACAGAACGGTGCCGTACAGTTTAATATCTTTTGTACAGAACTGCCAGTCTAACTTTTAGAATGTTGTAGCAGAGATAGGATTCTTTGTTAAATTTCAGTTAAAAGTTTTGTAGAAAACAACACTTCCATAGAAAGTAACAATCAAAAAGAAAAAATTTGAGACATTTCTAAGAATCTGTTGGGTTTAGTCCTTTTTATATTCGTTGTGATTTTCCCCTAGGATAAACAAGTATACATTATCTGATCATAGCTTCAGAAGGAATTAATGCAGAGGGAATGTTTATAACTGGAGGTGAAATCTGGGCGAGACACAAAAGTTAAACCCTCTCCCGAGAAAAGTGCTTTGAGATTGTTAGTGATTAGAGGCGAACAGACTCCTGTGCTTTAGATCTTTTTGAAAATCTTTCATCCTTAGCAGCCATTTACTCTTCGTTGGTAATTCCACACCCAAAGGTAGATATTGCACAGCTGAATATCTCTTATCTCCCTAGCACCAGCGACTGTCTCCCTGGACTCCAGGTCTTTTTGCTGTATTATTGGAAAATACTGTATTTTTTGTTATATAATGTTATTTCATTTCAGGAATAAGGGGAGTTATGTGATTTTTTTAGAACAATTCACTGAAGCTAAGAATTAAGTAAACGTAATGCTATTAAAGTCCAGACAGCCATTGGCTTTACGTGTCGGGGTTTTTTTTTTTTTTTGCCAAGGAAAAAAAAAAACCCTATGAACTTAGAAAAGTTTGTTTTGTTTATAAAGTTCATTAAGTAGCTTTTCTGCTTCATAAGCTAACTAAGCTGTGAGGCTAAGATGAAAGGTCAGTACACTTAGCTTTACGCTATTGCGAAAGAGTAGAAGAGTCTGAGTCCTACCATATCCTCTTGAATATGATAGCAGAGGAGATCTGGGGATTATTAGCTATTGCACAAATAACTTATTCCAGTGAATTATCTTTTGTTTGTAAAACCTTTCATCCTTATTTGGAGCCCTACTTCTAGCCCAAGTCTAGGAAAAAAGTGTTAGTGCCACCACTGTGCTGTGAGCAGCAGAACTGAGGAAGTTCTTGAGCACGTGTGCCGTTTTGGCTCTGGCAGTTCTGTTCCGCTGGATTCGCCACAAAAAGCAGTAGATAGAGGAATTTGCACTGGCCTGGCTAAGCCAGTGGGATCTTCCCAAAACAAATTTTTTTTTCTTGATTTTTCTCAGTCCCCAAAACGTAGGCTTATGTCTCCCTCCTGACTTGTCAGGTAGCAGGTTTTCAGGCTAGAATACAAGCAGGAATTGCAAAGGGGAATCATTAATAGCCTAAGGAGCTTCAAACTCTCCTTCTTTTCTTTCCTTTTCTTGCCTTTGTGCAAGTGTGCAGCTGTTTTCACATCTGAATGCAATTTTTCCTAGGTAGATCTCTGCCTATGTACTTTCATTTGTGTACCATCAGACCTAAAGTACAGGAAGGGTAAGATTCTGAGATCTGTAGGATAAGACATTTCTAGTTTCAGCCATTTCTTTAGCAAAATGAATGAAAAAATCACCTGGGGTAGTGTCACTAGGATGAAATGTGTTTAGACAAAGTAATACCTTTCTCTTGATGTTGTGCTGTTTGGTATTTTATCAAGTGGAGGCATTGCCTGATGCTAAATTTGTGCTATGCTTTGTTTACAGCCTTGTGATCGGTGGAGTTGGAGAAGCTTTGCTTGTTTACACCGAAAGGACAGGCACATAAAAGAGGACCGATATCTCACCAGTTGAAAAAGCTGACCTGCAGCTTAGAAACTCTATCATGAATAAAATGGAGCAGCAAGAATGAAGAAGTGCACCCAAACACAAGGAAAGAGACCCCCTCGCCCCCCCTTTTTTTTAATTAAGAAGGGAAAAATATGCTATTAATAGTGCTGCTAAGAAAGCAGCATAGTTGGTAGGGTGATTAGGAGGCTTTGCCTCAAAGCACAAGACAAGCTATTTCTGATTCATGTGGTAAAGGAAAAACTGCACTGTCTCATGCTAATGGCTCTGTGTGAGAACCTCTCAGTAGCAGCCCATTGCGCAGGGATCTGAACTCAGGAAAAGCAGCATTCCCCATTGGATGTTCCCGATTTTTGTTGGAGACTGGCAGCAGGTTGTACCAAACAATGTCAGAATCCAGATCCTGCCGTGAAGTGAGTGTCAAGAAGCATGAATTTTATTCCCAACCATTTTGTAGCAGTAAGCTACCGCACATGGGTCTCTAGTCACATTGTCTGACCTGGCATAGTGACGGAGGCCATGAGGCTTCTGAAGATAGTTCGCTTCTGGAATTGTGGTGGATTGACAGCTTTGCTGAATGGGGAAATCAGCAATAAATCTCATTATCTGTAGTGCTTGCTCTTTGTGTATTTTTTCTCCTCCCATTCTCCAAGATTTCTCTTGAATTCTCTGTGAATTTTTGTCAGCCAGAGAGGTGGGGAGGGACTCGCACTGTTCCCAGCAGTGATCTGTCTCTTAAATTGTTGCAAGAGGCAAAAGAGATTATAAACTTTGAATGAATGTCATGAAGAGTGGAAAGCAATTAATCTCAAGAGTTCTTAAAATAATTTCATTTCCAATTGTTTAATGGCTGGTAGAAATTGGTCTTGACATTAATGCCTGGGAAAGCAATCTGTATAAAAGTGATATTAAATGGTGATTTGATAATGTTTGGGGAAGTTTTACCATGTAAAACTTCCATGTTTTAGATGTCTAAAGTGTAGATGTCTAAATGTCTAGATGTCTAAAGTGTAGTCTCTTAATCTAAGTTGACTAAATTTCCTTTATAGTCAGTGGAAGGAGAGGGGTTCCCTCGCAGAGATGATTCTTAACACAGGTAGATTGCTGTGTTAATGTGGCTGAAAGACCCTCTGGAAGTGTTCATCTCTCTGTAGGTGGGAACTACGTGACTAATCCCGACAAGACACTTAGCTAGCTAACTGAAGCCTTCTAAAAGCTGAGACGTATCTGCCTCAGTCTACCAAGTTCTACCGGCTGGGATTTTAAGCATAGCTACGTTTTAACTTTAAATAAAAGTTTTTACTTTCTTGTCTTTGCTATTCATAGCAATGTACCAAAACCAAGAACACTCATTTGCTTTCTTGCTGGTGGTCTCAGCAGAAAGCCGAAGGCCAAACCAGCAGCGGGGTTGCTATACTTGTTTAATTCCAGAAGGCATGTTTTGGGGTGTGTGGAGTGAGGTGGGAAGGTTATTTGGCTCCACTGAGCATTTCGTTGTCTGGATTCTGGGGGAATTCAGTTTCTGCAGCTGCTGAATTAGTACCTCCCTGTGGAGTAAGTTTGCTTCTGCTTTCATTTTTGTGCCTTAGTGCAATGTGCTTGCATTTCCAATACTCTGCTTGATATAAGTAAAAATTTGCAGTTTTCAGTTAATCACTAGATAAGCAAACCAAGAAAACAGAGTTAATAGTGGAGTAGTGTTTGTCTGTCAAACATGGCTGGCAAGGAAAAGCTTGCTCTGAACGAACTTGACCTTGCTTCGGTTGAGGATGACCCTGGAGGATCAACACAGGGCCTGTCAGTCCTGCTGACGATTCAAAGTAGGGTAGAAGTGGAGCTCTAGGGCCTTTAAATTCCATCTTTGTGTATTCAGAGTTGTACTGATGTGCTAGAATTGCAAAGCACAAAGGCATGGTTGGCTTCCTCCTCCTTCACAGAGCAGCGGTTGACGGCAGCGCTGTGGTCCCATTTGGCAACCCTCGTTGGAGCGTATGTGAACGAAAGGCTGCCAAAGTATTGCCAGTAGCAAGTCTACGGACGGTTAGACCTGTTGTAGAGAGGGAGAGGGTGCAGAGAGCCATTTGGAGGGCTTCTGGCTGTTAGAACAAGTGATGTCTTCATTTATTAATATGTTTCCTATGGTGGGGATTTTCAGTCTGGGACTGATGAGATGCAGCAATTGTAGAGCTCTGAGATGGTGTCTCAGTTGGAAGTTCAGAGCAAGCCAGCGATAGATCTGGAAGTGAGCAATGACCTGGGCTCACCTGCCTGACTTGGTACCTGAGGGAGGAACGACCACCTTCAATGGGCCCCACAGTGATGGTAAAAATAAATAAACAAACAAACAAAATGAAATCAGCTTTCCCCAACTGTAACTGATGTGGAGGGAGAACAGCTCTGAGCCACCTCTCAAACAGCCGTCAGAGGGAACCTACATGGAGACCCTAGCTTTCCTCCTCCCTGTTTTGGGAAGAGGTGCTTTCCCTCCGGTCGGCCCTGGTGAGGACAGACAGCAAGAGGTGTTATGTTGGGGCTCTCTGATCCAAGCAGGCAAGTAGCCTTGAGATGCAGAGCTGATTACAGCAGAGGGGGAATGTGGGGTTAAGAGGACAAGAACATGCTGGCCACTCACACGCAGTGTATGGATTATGTTGTTACAAGAGCTGGCTGCCTAGCTTTTGAGTAAGACGATGTAGCCTTGAGCACCCTGTAAAGCCGCTTGCCGGGTCTCGTTATTTGAAACCCAAACCATTGCCAATGTTTCTTCCATCTGCTGCTGTTGGGTCAGGTCACAGACAGTGTAAGCAGAACTAATATGAAAGACATTAGGCTATGAGCAGGGATAATTTTTTCTGAGGTAGAGCTTTTAGTTAATTCTTTTTTCATCTTGGGAAAGACAAAAGTCTTATTTTGTTCTCAGTCAGATGTAGAGCAGGTTGGGCTTAAGGGGATTGGTGACTAGAGGGGAAGGGGTAGAGCAAATGTTGTAATTTCCTGAGGAAACAATGGCCTAATCTTTAATTCAGCCCTGCCTCCAAAGGAGGATATTGCAAGGGTAAAAACACTTTTTACACAGGGTTATAGTAATGATCTTCAAAGTATGAAAACTTAAAAGTCCAAACTTAAGATTGCTCTTGCAAGATGTGCAAATAGTTACGTTTAGTAACTTTGAGGACAAATATGCGAAGGGCAGAGTGTTTATATATAGTTGACCTTTTCTGTGGTCATTCAAAGATACCAATACAGAGTTCTGAGTAAGGAAGAGTTTATTTACATTGGAGAGATGCAATGACGCTAATTAATGCCTAAATGCGTAGTAATGGTTCTGTGGTTAAGCTGGTGGAAGAACCTCTGTTTTTCCAACATCCATCGTGTAAGGACCCTTTGAGACTAAAGGCTTTTCAGTTCTTGGGCCTGCAGAACGTAAGATGACAGAGACAAACCTGAGTGTGGTGAGGGGTCTTTTTGAGGGAAAGCAGATGCCTGGTAGCTTTCTCATCACGCTGTTTTCATGTCTACTGGTTTTGATCAAATCACTCTGACAGGAGATAGTCCTGAATCATGTAACGCCTCTTTGATCTTGTATTACTCATGCTTTTTTTTCCAAGTGAGCGTGGGGCTTTTTGGTCCAAGTAATACGTTAGTGAGGAGGCTTGTATTGTCTGCTGCAACAGTGTACCTTTGTGTGTGGCTGACGTTTGTGATAAAGAGACTCTAATTAAAACAAAGTGAAGTGCCATGGAATGAAGACTGAAATAGTAAAGCTGATGGATGCTGCGTAGAAAACAGTCTTCTGAATCTGGTTGCTGTGACATAGCTTGCAGCGGAAGATTTTATTACACGAATGAAATGAATCTGATGCTTACCGCTGAAGCACTTTCTTTCTGTTATTGCTTATTGTGGTGTGATAGTTGTACTTAGTGTTGGGAAGAGAACGTATGCCCATCTTTCAGTACCAATTTAATAGTGAAGCTGAAAATCTGCAGAGCAAGTGATTTTAACAAAAAGCAATAGGAAAGAGTATTTTTGGAAAATGCAATGGATGTATTAAATGTCTTGGTAAGGGACAGAGTGCTGGTTTACAATTATTTTTTGAATAACTATGTCCTAGCTGGTGGGTGAGTGTGTATATTTATATTCTTATTTCCCGTCCTCAAACTAGATGATCTGAAGAATTCAAGATATGTTATGTGGGCATAAAACATGTTTTGAAAAAGGTGCTTTTAATGGGTATTGTAGAAAAGTGGATTATGTGGAGCTGTGCAGAGTGCTGAGGAAAGAACGTTTCTCCTAATTTTCTGTTTCACTGTAAGCTAAAGGAGGTGGTAGGTTGAGGAAAACCCTATAGCAAATTGTCTTACCCAGAGCAGAAGCTGAATGAAAAGCTTTCAAAAATATCATCTGCTAGTGTGAACCAGGCAACAGCCCCAGCCTGAAACTTTAATCCTGTTCCAGATGATAGGCACAAGAAAATTGGGGGCAAGACTGGATAAAGTTGAGGCTGAAATCATTTTGTACCATGAGACAAAATGGAAAGTTTTTTTTTTTTTTTTCTGAAAACGGGCTGCTTATTCATAGTTTTTTGATTGAGATAGGCAATAAGTACATGGCTATTTAGTCCTAAAAGGAATTAAAGGAGCCCATGTGGTTTGTGTAACCATTTCCATATTAACTGCACTGTTTCAGAAACTTGATGCTTTTTAAATACACTTTGAAAATTGAATTATGTAAGCTTTGATATCTACTAGAAAAGCAACTCTATTCTTTTGGCAACAGGCAGAAACTGAAACACAGGAAGTTCCGTCTGAACATGAGGAAAAACTTCTTTCCTGTGCGGGTGACTGAGCACTGGCACAGGTTGCCCAGAGAGGTAGTGGAGTCTCCTTCCCTGGAGATATTCAAAACCCGCCTGGATGCGATGCTGGGCAATGCGCTCTAGAGGACCCTGCTTGAGCAGGGGGCGTGGGACTAGATGATCTCCAGGGGTCCCTTCCAACCTCAACCGTTCTGTGATTCTGCTGGTGAAAAACTTACGTTACCTCTTCATCAGCCAAGGTGGGGAATGTACCTCTCCCCTATCTGAGGTGGGGAGGAGTCAGACAGGACTTTCCCACCTTTTAATAAATAAATGTTGCTACTTCCAAAGTAGGTGGAGGTAGTCAGTTGGCATGTTAAGTTCTTGATCTGATGATATACAACATCTCTTTGAAAACTGTGATGCGAGCATGCTTAGTATATTTTCCTTAGACTTTGTGATTAAGATTTAGAAATACATAGCTTAGAACTCTTCAAATTGTTAGTTTGTGCTTGTATAGAAAAGCAAACTGCACAGTTCTCTAAATTTTATAGTGGCTGAGGTCCTTCCTAACCAGTTCCAGCTGGTGATGAATACAGACCTCATTCACAGACCTTGCTTTAGGAGACTGCATAATGGTAGAAGCCAAGAACGTTCTAGCTTCCCTTTCTGCTATTTGCCGTTAGCGGTTCCCTACCTTTCATGACTCTCCGCCACTTGAGCCAAATGTCATTTTGCGAAAGATGTAGGCTTTTTGTTTTACGCTTGCTCTACTCTCTTGGCTCAAGCAGCTGAGGGCCAGTACATCTTTAGGAG